ATACAAATAGAAATGAAATGGGAGATAATACAACTGACACCACAGAAATACAAAAGATAATTCAAGGCTATTATGAATACATTTACACACAAATACTAGAAAATAATGGAGATGGATACATTCCTGGAAAGAGACAGTCCTCCTAGCTTAAATCAGGAATAATTAGACACCCTCAACAGGCCAGTAACAAGCAGCAAGATTGAAATGGTAACAAAAAAATTACCAACAAAAAAAGTCCAGGATCAGATGGATTCACAGCAGAATTCTACCAGACATTCAAAGAAGAATTGGTACCAATCCTATTGACACTATTCCACAAGATAGAGAAAGATGGAATCATCTCAACATCATTCTATGAAGCCAGTATCACCTTCATACCAAAGCCAGGAAAGGGCATAACCAAGAAAGAAAACTACAGACCAGCATCCTTCATGAACATAGATGCAGCAATCTTTTTTTTTTTTTTTAAATTTTTTATTGCATTTTAGGTTTTGGGGTACATGAGCAGAACATGCAAGACAGTTGCGTAGGTACACACATGGCAGTGTGTTTTGTTTCCTTTCTCCCCTTCACCCACATTTGGCATTTCTCCCCAGGCTTTCCCTCCCCACCTTCCCCTTCCACTGGCCCTCCCCTTTTCCCCCAAATAGACCCCAGTGTTTAGTACTCTCCTCCCTGTGTCCACGTGTTCTCATTTTTCATCACCTGCCTATGAGTGAGAATATGCGGTGTTTCATTTTCTGTTCTTGTGTCAGTTTGCTGAGGATGATGTTCTCCAGATTCATCCATGTCCCTACAAACGACACAAACTCATCATTTCTGATTGCTGCATAATATTCCATGGTGTATATGTGCCACATTTTTTCAATCCAGTCTATTATCAATGGGCATTTGGGTTGGTTCTAGGTCTTTGCTATTGTAAACAGTGCTGCAATGAACATTCGTGTACATGTGTCCTTATAGTAGAACGATTTATAGTCCTTTGGATATATACCCAGTAATGGGATTGCTGGGTCAAATGGAATTTCTATTTCTAAGGCCTTGAGGAATTGCCACACTGTCTTCCACAATGGTTGAACTAATTTACACTCCCACCAACAGCGTAAAAGTGTTCCTCTTTCTCCACATCCTCTCCAGCATCTGTTGTCTCCAGATTTTTTAATGACCGCCATTCTAACTGGCATGAGATGGTATCTCAATGTGGTTTTGATTTGCATCTTTCTGATGACCAGTGACGATGAGCATTTTTTCATATGATTGTTGGCTTCATATATGTCTTCTTTCGTAAAGTGTCTGTTCATATCCTTTGCCCACTTTTGAATGGGCTTGTTTGTTTTTTTCCTGTAAATCTGTTTGAGTTCTTTGTAAATTCTGGATATCAGCCCTTTGTCAGATGGGTAAACTGCAAAAATTTTTTCCCATTCTGTTGGTTCCTGATTCACTCTAGTGACTGTTTCTTTTGCCGTGCAGAAGCTGTGGAGTTTCATTAGGTCCCATTTGTCTATTTTGGCTTTTGTTACCAATGCTTTTGGTGTTTTGTTCATGAAGTCCTTGCCTACTCCTATGTCCTGGATAGTTTTGCCTAGATTTCCTTCTAGGGTTTCTATGGTGCCAGGTCTTATTGTTTAAGTCTTTAATTCATCTGGAGTTAATTTTAGTGTAAGGTGTCAGGAAGGGGTCCAGTTTCTGCTTTCGATGCAGCAATCTTTAATGAAATACAATAGCATATCAAAAAGATGATTCACCATGATTGAGTGGTTTTCATACCAGGGAGGCAGGTTTGGTTTAACATATACAAGTCAAGAAATGTGATACACTGCATTAACAGAATTAAATACAATAATCACATGATCATCTCATTGGATGCAGAAACAGCATTTGACAAAATCCAGCATCACTTTATGATTAAAATTCTCAGCAAAATCAGCATACAAGGGACATATGTCAATATAATAAAATCCATCTATGACAAACCCACAGCCAACATAATATTGAATGGGGAAAAGTTGAAAGCATTCCCTCTGAGATCTGGAACAAGACATGGAGGCCTACTGTCATCACTTCTCTTCAACATAGTACAGGAAGTCCTAGCCAAAGCAATCAGACAAGAGAAAGAAATAAAGGGCATCCAAATTGGTAAATAGGAGGTCAAACTGCCACTTTTTGCTGATGATATGATTGTTTACCTAGAAAACCCTAAAGATTCTTTCAGAAAGCTCCTAGAACTGATAAAAGAATTCAATAAAGTTTCCAGATACAAAATTAATGTTCACCGATCAGTAGCTCATCTATATGCTAACAGCGACCAAGCTGAGAATCAAATCGAGAACTCAATCCCTTTTGAAATAGCTGCAAAAAGCCCACAAAACAAACAACAACAAACTTAGAAATATATCTAACCAAGGAGATATATTTGCAAGGAAAACTATAAGACACAGCTGAAAGAAATCATAGATGACACAAATGGAAACACATCCCATGCTCATGGATGGGTAGAATCAATATCATAAAAATAATCATACTGCCAAAAGCAATCTACAAATTCAATGCAATTCCCATCAAAATACCACCATTGTTCTTCACAGAACTAGAAAAAACAATCCTAAAATTCACATGGAACCAAGAAAGATCACACATAGCCAAAGCAAGACTAAATAAAAAGAATAAATCTGGAGGCATCACATTACCTGATTTCAGACTATACTGTAAGGCCATAATCACTGAAACAGCATGATATAAAAACAGGCACAGAGACCAATGGAACAGAATAGAGAATGCAGAAATCAACCCAAATACTTACAGCCAACTGACCTTTGACAAAGCAAAGAAAAACGTAAAGTAAGGAAAGGACATCCTATTCAATAAATGGTGCCACGATATTTGGCAAGCCACATACAGGAGAATAAAACTGGATCCTCATCTCCCACATAATACAAAAATCAACTCAAGATGGATCAAGGACTTAAATCTAAAGACCTGAAACTGTCAACATTCTAAAAGATAACATTGGAAAAGCTATCTATACATTGGCTTAGGAAAGGATTTCATTACCAAGAACCCAAAAGCAAATGCAATAAAAACAAAGATAAATAGCTGGCACTTAATTAAACTAACGAGCTTTTGCACAGCAAAATGAATAGTCATAGTAAATAGACAACCCACAGAGTGGGAGAAAATCTTCACAGATTATATATCTTACAAAGGACTAATATCCAGAATCTACAACAAACTCAAACAAATTGGCAAGAAAAAAAAAATCTCATTAAAAAAGTTGGCTAAGGACATGAACAGACAGTTCTCAAAACAAGATATACAAATGGACAACAAACATGAAAAAATACTCAGCATCACTAATGATCAGGGAAATGCAAATCAAAACTACAGTGTGATACCACCTTACTCCTGTAAGAATGGCCATAATCAAAAAAATAAAAAAATAATAGATGTTGGTGTGGATGCAGCAAATAGGAAACACTTCTACACTGCTGGTGGGAATGTAAACTATTACAACCACTATGGAAAATAGTGTGGAGATTCCTTATAGAACTAAAATCAGAACTACCATTTGATCCAGCAATCCCACTACTGTATATCTACTCAGAGGAAAAGAAGTAATTATATGAAAAAGAAACTTGTACACGCATGTTTACAGTAGCACAATTCACAACTGCAAAAATGTGTAACCAACCTAATTGCCCATCAGTCAAAAATTGGATGAAGAAATTGAGGTATATATAAATATATATAATAGAATACTACTCAGCTGTAACAAAGAATGAATCAATGGCATTTACAGCAACCTGGATGAATTTGGAGACTATTATTCTAAGTAACTCAGGAATGGAAAATCAAACATTGTGTGTTCTCAGTCATAAGTGGGAGCTAAGCTATGAGGATGCAAAGGCATAAAAATGACACAGTGGATTCTGGGCACTCAGGGGGAAAGGGTGGGAAGGGGGTGAGGGATAAAAGACCACAAATAGGATGCGGAGCACACTGCTCAGGTGATGGGTGCATCAAAATCCCACAAATCACCTCTAAAGAACTTACCTATGTACAAACACCACCTGGAACAGGTGGAGAACCACCTATTCTCCAATCCTATTGAAATAAAAACATTTTTAAAAAAGAAAATGAATTGCACATACCGTCTTATATATGGTGAGACCATTTTTTTCACCAAGACAGAAATAAACTATTCTAATATGCTTTCCCCTTTCTGCTCAAGGAGTTCATTCATTGCTACTAAAAGATAAGTTCCATGGCTGAGACTTTACCCATTTTGTTCACTGCTCTGTCTCCAGCCGCTATATTCGCACATAGTGGAAATTTAATAAATATTTGGTGAATAGATGAGTTTTTCTTGTCATATAAAGGAAAGTTTATATATATGTAGAATATAATCTAATTGTCTTTCCTTTATAGGTAACCAATATTCCTGCATGTCTGTGAAATTTGTTTATCCTTGAAGTTAGCCACTCCACCATGCTATATCTAGTTATGAGTCTTATTTCATGAATTTTGTGTAATGTTTGGTCTGGTCTGAAAAGTTTTTTATTTTTTTTCTTTTTAATTGCTCCTGCCTCTTGTCCTCTCTGCTTCTGAAACTATGATTAATTATTTGACCTTCTGGATCTATCTTATTTTTCTGATGTCCTTCCTTCTATAATTTTCCTTTTATTATTTTTTTCTTCAAATTCTGAGATAATTCTTCCAGCTGAGCTTCTATTCATTTTCTTTTATGCTCAGTTTTTCATTCATCTCTAGGAAGACTTTTCTATTCTTCCATTATTATTTATTTCTGTACAGCCTACTCTTGATTTAGGCCTGAGAGTATAAATTATGAATAAGGGTTCAGTTATTTTTCCCTTTTGTCTTACACTAACTCACAGTAAAATGCTCAAAATGACCCTTTTCTTTGAACTGCTGATTATTTTATAGTTTGCATTGCTTTTTATTTAAATTTATGTATTCTTATAGAAGGCTTTATTTTTTTTCAGTTTAACATCAGTAACTGAGATAAGCCTCAGTAAAGATCAGGTATGTATGTCCATGTAAGTGTTTTCCAAGTAATAACTCTTTATCTTCCTTTTCTTCCTTCCTTCCTTCCTTCCTTCCTTCCTTCCTTCCTTCCTTCCTTCCTTCCCTCCCTCCCTCCCTCCCTCCCTCCCTCCCTCCCTCCCTCCCTCCTTTCTTTCTCTTTCTTTCTTTCCTTTCTTTCTTTCTTTCTTTCTTTCTTTCTTTCTTTCTTTCTTTCTTTCTTTCTTTCTTTCTTTCTTTCTTTCTTTCTTTCTTTCTTTCTTTCTTTCTTTCTTTCTTTCTTTCTTTCTTTCTTTCTTTCTTTCTTTCTTTCTTTCTCTTTCTTTTTTTGAGACGGAGTTTCGCTGTTGTTACCCAGGCTGGAGGGCAATGGCGTGATCTCGGCTCACCGCAACCTCCGGCTCCTGGGTTCGGCCAATTCTCCTGCCCCAGCCTCCTGAGTAGCTGGGAGTACAGGCACGCGCCAGCATGCCCAGCTAATTCTTTGTATTTTTAGTAGAGACGGGGTTTCACCATGTTGACCAGGATGGTCTTGATCTGTTGACCTCGTGATCCACCGGCCTCGGCCTCCCAAAGTGCTGGGATTACAGGCTTGAGCCACCGCTCCCGGCCAACTCTTTATTTTTCAACTATCATTCCCCAAATCTTGTATCCTCAAGTATTCAGAGAGCTGCTGTAGTTTAGGATTAGAAGTGCAGTTGACATGTATTGTTTGTCTGGCAATCAGCTCTCATTTCCTTTGGGAAAAGTATACCTCCTCATTTGGGAAAATATTCTGATTCGGGAAAATGCTTCTCTAGCTTTTTTTTTTTTTTTGAGAGTCTTTTTCTGTCATTCAGGCTGGAGTACAGTGGTATGATCTTGGCTCACTACAACCTCCTCCTGCAGGTTCAAGCAATTCTCCTGCCTCAAACTCCTGAGTAGCTGGGACTACAGGTATGTGCCACCAACCCTGGATAAGTTTTGTATTTTTAGTAGAGACAGAGTTTTACATGTTGGCCAGGTTGATCTCAGACGCCTGACCTCAAGTGATCCTTACACCTATGGCCTCCCAAAGTGCTGGGATTATAGGTGTGAGCCACCATGCCTGGCCCTGTCTAGCTGTAAAAATGCATTCTGAGAGAACTTTTCTTTCTTTTTTTTGAGACGGAGTTTCGGTCTTGTTACCCAGGCTGGAGGGCAATGGCGCGATCTCGGCTCACCGCAACCTCTACCTCCTGGGTTCAGGCAATTCTCCTGCCTCAGCCTCCTGACTAGCTGGGATTACAGGCACGGGCCACCAAGACCAGCTAATTTTTTGTATTTTTAGTAGAGTCGGGGTTTCACCATGTTGACCAGGATGGTCTCACTCTCTTGACCTCGTGATCCACCCGCCTTGGCCTCCCAAAGTGCTGGGATTACAGGCTTGAGCCACCGCGCCCGGCCTCCTGAGAGAACTTTTCTATCTTTCTTGTCTTAGGGATCTAGGAGTGGACACTTGTTCCTACTGAGTCACAGTGTTTTGCTCACTCAAGTCCAATGAGGTGGTCACATGACCCAAGCTGAGTCAATGAGATTTTTAAAAACTGGTTTAAGGGGGAAAAGCCTTCTCTTTCTGTTGACTGAAAGGAGACTATGAGCCGGGAGCCAAGGTAGTTTTATAGTCACACCTGAATGGAGACTCCTAGTCAGGTGAAATTCACTGATGCCCAAAGAGAAGAAGAGAGTTACAAAGTGCTAATTTTAGTCTTTCTGAGGTTCACTAAGACTTTTGAAATTTTATTAAATGAGACAATACAGTTTTCTCTCTCTCTTTCTTTCTTTTTCTTTTTCTTTCTTCTTTCTTTTTTTGACAGAGTCTTGTTCTGTGGTCCTGGCTGGAGTGCTGTGGCATGATCTTGGCTCACTGCAACCTCTGCTGCCCAGGTTCAAGCAATTCTGCTGCCTCAGCCTCCCTAGTAGCTAGGATTACAGGTACCTGCCACCGTGACTGGCTAATTTTTGTAGTTTTAGTAGAGACAGGGTTTCACCATCTTGGCCAGGCTGGTCTTGAATTCCTGACCTTGTGATCCACCCGCCTTGGCCTCCCAAAGTGATGGGATTACAGGCATGAGCCGCTGCACCTGGCTTTTAAAATTTATTTTCTTTTTTTATTTAATAAGCCAGTTTGTTTAGATTTCTGTCATTTACTCGCTAAAGCTCTCCAGTAAAAGACAAGTTTTCAAGAATGCTAATGACAATAACTTTTCTCAAGGGCACAGATGCCATTGAATTCCTAGGTAAGGTTCTGTATCATTCAGTGTGTTACAATGCTCTATATAGAGGACAGAACAGCTATATAATTGTATTCTGGATATTTTCCAGGATTGCTGATATAGTTTGGATATTTGTCCTTGCCCAAATCTCATGTTTAATTGTAATTCCTAATCCTGGAGGCAGGTGCTAGTGGGATGTATTTGGATCATGGGAGCAGATTCCTCATAAATGGCTTAGGCCATCCCCTTGGTAAAAAGTGAGCTCTTTCTCAGAGTTCACAAGAGATCTGATCATTTAAAAGCATATGGCACTTCCCCACTCTCTCTCACACTTGCTCCTGCTCTGGTCATATGACATGCTTGCTCCCCCTTAGTCTTTCACCATAATTGTAAACTTCCTGAGGCCTCATCAGAAGTGAAGCAGATGTCCAGTGCCATGTTTCCTATACAGTCTGCAAAAGTATGAGCCAATTATACTTCTTTTCTTTATAAATTACCTAGTCTCAGGTATTTCTTTATAGTAATGCAAGAATAGCCTAATACAATTGCTCACAATCAAGTGCTCTCTACTTGAGGAACGTATTAGATTTTGACAGCTAAGCTTTTTTTTTGAGGCTTTTCAGTGTTTGTGAGGAATTTTACCTCCAGGGACCCCTGATATCACACCTTGTACAAAGTAGATGGAAGTCCCTAACTTCTCCAAAGATTCTGGTAAAGCCTATAGTATAAAAAGGCACTGTCCCAAGTCTACTTACTGAGAAAAACTGGGAGGACAGTGATGTGTACTTGTAGTCATGTTGCCATATCCCATATATTTCTGTGTTGTGTTTGTATGTAACAGAATGATTTACAAGGAAAAAAATCATTTAGGTATAAACCAAAAGATACCTTCTGGTTTCAATCACTTTTGAAGTTTATTTTGCCAAGGTTGAGGACATACCCAGGAGACAGTTCTGTGCTTTCTCCAAAGGTGATTTTTATGGCTTCAGTATCTAAAGAGAAAAAGGAGGCTGGAGGGGAAAGAGGGAGGGTATGGTCACATTACTGAACCCACATGTTGCCAGAGAGAAGGGACAGGTAGGGGAAAAGTCAATTATGTATTCACCTCAAGCTCAGTATATTGGCACTTTACTTAAGATAAGGTGAACATAGTAGCTTCCTGTGGAGATTTTAAACCTTTTATTTGTAGATGTTTGCTTACGAACAAAAGAAAAGGCAGCTTCTTGCATGACTCAGCTTTCAGCTTAATTTTTTTCGTTTCGGCATAGTGAGTTGGGCTCCCAGGCTTTTTTTTCCCCTTTCAAATTTCTCTTCCCTTTTCTTTTAAAAATCTTCAGATAAAGCATTTTAGAAGAAAATGAGGCTGTAGTCTTGAGTTTTGTCTCATCTCTCATGGCTAGGACAGTTTATTCCTAGAAAGGTCTTATTTTGTTAGAAAAGCTCATTATTAGTAGGTTATGAAGTCCCATGTCCTACAAATAAAAAAAATTGGGGGAGGAAGAGGGAAATAATACTACAAATGAAGAAAAAACGGGAGACAATCCTGGAAAACCCATAAAGGCCATATTATTCTAAAGTCCATAGATCAGTAGGAAGGTATGAACTTATGTATATGTGTGTATATATATATATATATGTATACACACACATACACATAATTTTATATATACATATATATATGTTGCTGTTATTTTCGTCTGAAGTTTAGGTTGTCTAGTTCAAGTTTGCAGAGCTTTAAGAAAAGCACAGCTTATTTTTTAGTGATTTCAAATCAGGAAAAATGAGGCAAAAAAGGGAAAGAAAGAAGGAAAAAAAGTAAGACATTATTTTGTGAACTTGCAAAAAAGTCTTATACCTGGCCTAAGTATTTGCATAAAGTTCAACAAGAATAAATTATTTGCCACAGAGATTCTTTTTAAATTGGCTTTGGTGTAAGTTTGTTCCACAAGGAATCTCATATTAAATTTTTCGAAGCATGAACCCCCACCACAGATTTATCTGTGCTTGCAAATATTTGTAAGAGTTGGGTGAATTTCTCTCCTCTCAAGGTGACAAGATAACTTGGAGTTCCTGACCTTGGAAATTGACATTCTTTGCTTACCACAAATGTCAGGAACCCTGTGTAGACAAGGTATGAGGCCAGTTTACTCAAGGGGCTTTTATCAACTCTATAAGTCAAGTTTGATTATTTAAAGCAGTCTGTTTATATTTGAAAACATGCCATTTCAGTCAAAGCTTTGGTAAAATAACCAGTGTCTCTAATAGCGTCCTGTACAAAAGAAAACAGATTCTTATTGCACTTATACCAATAACTATATTGCTGTAAGTTAAGAATACTCACAAATAGTTTCCAAATTCTTGAGAAATCAGGTAGAGAGAAAGACATATGCTCCAAATTTTTCTCACAGGAGTATACTTTACTCACAGGTTAAAAGCTGTAAGTAGCTTAAAAGAAAAAAGTTTTCTTGACTCTGAAAAGCAAAATGGAAAGGATCAGCAACATTTTAAGCAAAAAAATTAAATTATTAAAAGACTATTTCAGCCTTTTATTAGTTTAGTTCATGCCAGAAATCCTTATGAATATATTAGCTTTCTATGAGAGTCCTAGAAATTGTTTTGTCTGTTTATTTTGTATTTTCCATTCCAATGGTCCAATTATCAAAGTTATCAGAGTGTACCAGAGTCCTATAGCTGATTATAAACTGCCTTTTGGACACATGCACACAAATGCTCATTGCAGCACTGTTTACAATAGCAAAGACCTGGAACCAACCCAAATGCCCATCGATGATAGACTGGATTGGGAAAATGTGGCACATATACACCACGGAATATTATGCAGCAATCAATAACGATAAGTTCGTGTCCTTTGTAGGGACATGGATGAATCTGGAGAACATCATTCTCAGCAAACTGACAAAAGAACAGAAAATGAAATACCACATGTTCTCTCTCATAGGTGGGTGATGAAAAATGAGAACACATGGACACAGGGAGGAGAGCACTACACACTGGGGTCTGTTGGGGGGAATAGGGGAGGGACAGTGGGGTGGGGGAGTTGGGGAGGGATAGCATGGGGAGAAATGCTAAATGTGGGTAAAGGGGAGGAAGGCAGTAAATCACACTGCCACGTGTGTACCTATGCAACTATCTTGCACGTTCTGCACATGTACCCCCAAACCTAAAATGCAATAAAAATAAAATATATATATTAAAAAAAATTTAAGTGAAAATATAAAACTTCTTTTGAGAGATGTCTACTCATGTCCTTTGCCCACTTTTTCATGAAATTATTTGATTGTTTATTTTGCTATTGAGTTCCAAAAAAAAAAAAAACAATAAAACAAAAAAACTGCCTTTTGAAGAGGATTAAAACAGGACAACAATTGTATGTAGATGACAAAATTCTTAGGATAGCCACAGTTAAAGACACAATTGACAAGAAAATCTGGTCATCTCTGTGATATACAGTTTAACATAACAATTATAATTATATCAGAATATAGAAATTTTATATGATTTTGTAATGCATGCTAGTAACATTTATATGATTATAACTTAAAGAAAGTGAAACATCATTTTATATTTGACAATGCTTCCTATATGATTTTAATGTATCAAATAAGTTGAATATGTCTCTTTTGGTCTTTGGGGGACCTAATGTCTAAAAAGGTTAATTGGGTCAAAAAACATAATTCAAAA